AAGAGGACAAAACTAAAGTACAGTAGCAGAAGTAGTGCTACTTAAATAGAAAAAACGGATAGAGTTTAATAAGTGTGAAACACTGAGTTGGATCAGTGATGTACAGGAGACAAGTGTCACTGGGTTGTATCAGTGATGGAGATGAGACATGATAGATATGAAACGCGATGTAAGTAAGACATGAGACAAGTGACAAGTGATAGATATGAAATGCTTGATGAAGTATCAAGTGATGGGATCAGAAGTATAGTACAAGGTCAATGATGAATAGTAGGAAAAAGGAAAGAGACCCCTTGTGCAGCTGTAACAATCACCCTGTCCTCATGTCAGATCAGCAGTTCTACAATGATGATCACTTGAATGACCATGTGTGTTCCTAGTACAAATGGGGAAATCTTGTGTGAACATATGATAGCCCATTTGCTATGCTTCTGATAAGCTGAACACCTGACTAGTAACATGTCACCATGCATTACGCTATCCTTATCTAGCTAGATATAGATTATCTAGATGCTTAAGATAAGATAGACACCATGAAATTCTGTGACAAAGACAAGGATGAGAGAGAGAGAGAGAGAAAAGCACTGTCATTAAGTGTTCTACCTAGGGGTTTATATATACAGGGAGAATGCTACATGTACAAACAATTAGATAATAATCTAAAGTGGTGTCATACACTATTTATGAGTCAACTGCTTAATTTGTTAGGAAGTTGTCATCAGACAGACGTCAAGGAATGTGTCATATCTGCTGATATTGTAGGACAATAGATGCAGCTAGATCTAGCCAGACTCTTCTGGACTCTGTCTGGAATCTACTGGACTCAGTCTAGACTCTGTAACTATATCTGGTCCATCAGATAAATGATTGTATCTCAATAAGATATAGATAAGATTAGATCAACTAATCTATAGTGTCCTAGAACTGTTTGTAGTGGTTCCGTACATAGAACTCATAGGTGTGTTTTTACTATTTGTTCAACATGTCATGCTTGATCAAAAAAAATCTTTTGCTGATGTCCACAAGCCACCACACTAGTTGAAGAGGGTGCATTAGGACTGAGATTTTTAAACTATGTTCATGCACCTAAGACCACCACACAGTGCAACAAGACCAGAGGGAGCAGATAATTGTCTCCAGACACATCTCCAGCACTTTCATCTGTTGTCCTCACAAGCAAATGTGTCTGGATTTTAATTCTACACAACCTTAAAACATTCCAACAACCACACTGGCACTTGCACACAAGTAAGCATAGAATTATCAAGTCCATTCCGAATCGGCCTGACTCGCACAAGGATCTTTATCCTATCTTGATGTGACTGATATGTCAGTGGCAATATCTCAGGATGCTGCAGCAGGATCGACATGCGATTCATTTGAAGGTCGCGTGGGTATGGCCACCACGTTACTACCTTCCGTCAGCACAGGTATTCTAGAAATAGACACGATAGCAGATACAGAACAGAACAGGACGTGAATAAATTACCGCGAAGCACTCCCAACTCACCACCTGGCCGGCCTACCTCCGCCATATCGATGGTCTTTATCCCACCTCCGATCTCTATGCCGACGGGCTTCCTCAAGCTCTTTCCGGTTGAACACATCATCATAGCCTTCCTCTAGGCCGCCATGGACTGTGCTCGGCGTCTCACTGCCCGCCATCTGCCGCTTCTTTCGCTTTATGAGCTCGAGCGCGCGCTGCCGCTCCGCGGACTCGCGGTGGAGACGCGCGACGGCTGGCGGTGCTCCGGAGCTGGAAGAGGAAGGCGCTGCCAGAGCAGGTCGGGAACGCACTACGCTAGAGCCATTCGACGATCTGGAAGCAAGCTGGTGGTTTATGGAGGTGAGAGGATCGTTGACCGACTTTCGCGCGAGCTCTCGGACGCTTGTCGTGTTCGTCAGCGTCATGCGGAAGGCAGCCACAGAGAAGTGCTCACTGGCGGCTCTCGTCCAGCTCTCTCACAGTACCAGAATTGTGATCAGAATACCATGGCTTCAAGTCCTTTGCAGAAGGTGCCAGCGGGATGCCCTTCTCTGTTTCTGGTGGTGCTTTCTTGTCGGGCCGCGATTGCAGTGCCATAGACTGCTACAAACAGTGGCATTGAGCACTCCCTCCCTCTAAAATTCGGTGTAATCATGCCTGTTCTAAATGTTCGAAGAGGTTGATGTGCCCTTTTGAGGTAATGGTCGATGACCCCGCCTGAGGCACTGCTTCAGGGACGTCCTCCTGGTGCCCAGGCCTCAAACGACTTGCGCCAGCTCGCTGTCTTAACGTATCCATGCGAGCTTCAGAGTCCTGCGAAAGATACCAACGCACATAAGATAACGTCTCAACTGAAATGAAATTACGCACCGCCAACATCATCCGACCCTCCTCGACCGCCTCTCGCAAGCGTGCCTCCTCCTCATCTTTGCGGACCCGCTCGATGTTGTCTCTACGATAGGGATGATAAGACTTGTGGTGAGCAATATTCAGTTTCCCCATGGCCTATGGTACAGTCGAAGCTGCCAAGAGTGCAGCAGGCGGAGTCTCCGAGTAGATGGTAGAGAGCAGCCGTGATGGGCGAGGCGGCGCCGGGGCGCACATTGCCGGCGTGGTGCCCAAAGTCCATAGAGAGATTGCCTATTTTAGAAACTCGGACTCGGACACTGCGCAGATCACTGATGCCTGAGGCTGTACTTAAGCACCGCCGATCGCGCTCTTCGATATGAGCGACCACTCATATTGAGCTTGGATGAAATTGATATCGATACACTACCGACCGGTGAACAGCGTGAGGAGAAATCTATTACACGTGTATGTTCACAGTGGTGAGATGTCCGGATGGCTATGATCGTTCTATGCGCAGAAGGTATGATAGCAACACAAGAGCGTTTTGCGAAACAATATTATAGGACACCCGAGTAGGTAATGACTATTGGGACAGACGGCCGACGCAAGATATCGTCAGAATGATATGACTGGATTTTTCTGACCAGTTCCATTCCTTCGACGACTTCGCCGAACACGACGTTGCGGCCGTCACACCACGGGGCAGGTGCCGTGGTGATAAAGAACTGCGACGCATGTACGGTCACGGGGATGATGACATGACGAACGACACGAAGACACTTACATGAGACGAGTTCGAGTTTGGGCCTCGATTTGCCATTGATAGAAGGCCTGGTTTGTCGTGCTTGAGACGGAAGTTCTCATCTGGCAGATGGGGACAAGGGTAGCATCACGACTAGAACAAACGCAGAAATGGGTTAGCGTACCTGCGAACCGAGGCCCATAGATTGATCGACCACCAGCGCCATCGCCACCCTGAATATCGCCACCTTGAATCATGAACTAAAGAGTGACAGATTCACAAAGGGGGCGGGAGGTCAGCTCGCGGGGGAACAGCGAACGGGGAAACCACGGACGTCCGGGATGATACGGTGGATGGTAGAATTGGCGTAGCCAAATCCATGTTCGCCCGAGGCGAGCTCTCGAAAATTACGGGCAGTCGCTGGACAGATCGAGTCGTAGAGGCGGAAGACAATTCTGCCTGCCGGGATACCATGGATGGCGATGTCGAACTAGGGAGCGGTAAGTGAGAGCGAAGACGTACGGGGCGGGCTCACATAGACGTTGGCATCGCTGTAGGGCATTGAGCGGCGAGCGGGGCGGAGAGGAAAGGCGGACATACTTGTCCATGAACGCTGGAGGGCGTGAGCAGGCTGGGCTGGCGAGAGAGGAGGGGGCCGGACGCGAAGGGGGCCGCCATTTTTTAGGCTGGCGGAGGCGACCTGATTCTGAAGCGTTAGGGGAAACGAGAGCGAAGGCTCGGCAACTCCCGCGCGGTCTTGTGACGCCAGCCGGAGATTGCCGAAAGCCGCAGGCGAGCTGATGGGCGGCGGCGG